AAAAAAAAAAAAAAAGGATACTGTCAAATATTTTTTATTTTATTACACATTTACTATAAAGTTACTATACACCTATGAGAATCCGCCATAAAAAACTTTATTATCAGAAATAGCTGGCTTTATGCAAGTCAATTTTTTTTCATGTTAATTAGTACACTTAAAAGATAAATACAGTCGGGACAAGTAAAACAATGGCAGGTGTAATTTCTGTTATTTATATTCAAAGTGATAGAAATCATCTTAATTTTGTTTAAAAAGGGTAAATCAAAAGTAAAAATCTGAATGTTTATTTAGCTACATGCTAAAATAAACTATACTTGGAGGTTATAATTTTACATGGCCAAAGAACAACCAGCTTTATGTCTCCTACTATAACCAGCAGCTTATGACAACGATGGCCTTCTTTTACATTTAGATCAACAACTCTAAGGCAGTAGTCATTATATAAAATTAGATTCTCTCTGAAATTGCCTTTAACAGACTGGAATTGTAAATAAATTTCTTTCATCAACATCAAAACTGCATTTTACATGGAAAATACCTTTTTTGAAGGGGCTCCAGTAGATGGCACGTCAATTACAGAAGATGTATTAGTGTAGTTTTGTAAATAGGATCCATCTCCAGGACTTGGGGTTTCTAATGGCAAAATCCCAAAACTGAGAAGAGGTTGAAATCAAGGTGTCAAAAAGTCATCAAGGCATATATAAAGCAGCAGTATACTTAAATTAGAAGGTCTAAAAGGAAGAGAATGGCAAATCAGTCTTGGGGGCAGTGAGGATCTGAGGGGCAGATTTAAAATAAGCTGTGAATGTAGACTATTCCACCCACCATAACTAAATTAAAACAAAAAAAAAATCAAACAAGGAATTAAATTGAGCAACAACCACTGATCTCAGGAGATTTACTGGAAATGAAGAATGGCTTTGTAAAAGCAAAGATCCAAATGATCAAATTATTTAAAATTCTTGGAATTTATGGGATTTAGACACTGTTCCAGAGACTATCTCTAGAGACCACTGAATCCATCTGTGGATTCAGGGAGTTGTTGTAATCTCATGGTCATGCTATTTTAGTAACTCTCTGGCCCCGGGACCCAATTCATAGTGTCTGTTCTAACACAGAATTTTTTATTTTGACACTTTTGGATAGGTATCCTCTGGGCTGGGTTCCTGTATTTATACACATATATACCTCTAATAATTTTGACAAAATATTTCCTATTGATAGGTGTCAATCCTTCTTCCATGGTTTGGAAAACAGTACTTTAACAATAATCACTGCTGTAACTCTGATTATAACAAAAGCATTGCAACATTTCAAAAGGTTCACTGATACTCACTGACACACAGCCAAAAAGACAGTATCTTTTAACACATACAGTAGCTGAAGAAGGCATATTTAAGAGTTTTACATTTTTCTCTAATATTTAATAATAAATTTTTATCACAGGTATTGTATCTCTTTTACTTCATTTTCAAAACAGAATAGGTCCGTTATTGACTTACTAAATGCTTCCATTTCCATAATGATTTAGAAGTTGCTGTTCATATTAATTTATATTACTAATAATATGAATTATTATAGATCATTTACTATTATAGCATATTTTAAAGTATGTTTTGTTTGTCTTACCTTGGGGTTAATGGGCTAAGAGCAGCTGGTCCTCCTAATAAGCTTCGACCAGTTTTTGGTTTATTTTGAACCTGTTTAGATAATATGGAAGTTCCTGTTCCAAGAGGGACAGTATCTGGTGAAATTACAGCTGAATCAATATAAGACACTGAGGAATCTGTATTCAAGGAGTACTTTGAATTGGAAGATTCTAAATTCAGTCTGTTTAATTCCTGAAACAGAAAATTTCTACCATGTAATTTATGATACATTATTTAGGTCATTCTTTCCTGTTTTTCATAATATTTGAACACTAGCATATGATACACTTACAATTGTGTCCTGGGGTGTTTCTGTAAGAACGGTCTCAGGCTGTCTGTGAGATAAACTATGATTAGATACTAGTGTTGTGCATGAGCTGGGCAGACAGTTGCTAAAGTTCTGTAAAGATGTTAATTTAAATGTTTGGTCAGGATCTGGCTTTTCACCTGTAAAGGGAAAAAAAAATGTATGCCTCTGAGATGAGGATTAATATCTTTTTTCAAGTATGCACAAATTAGTGGAAATAAGGCCTTATCCAGTGTTTTAAAGTTCTCCTGTCTGTTTCAGCTAATCAAATTTACCTCCCAAAAGTCCATCTATCAATTTATTATAAAAATTTACCCCTCAGATAAAGCTATAAATTTAGAAATTAAATGGAACTACAGTAACACTGATTTTAAATATAATAAATCATCGGAAAATGCAGACTTCTGTGTTTCTTTTAAAGCAGAAAGCAGGGCGCCTGGGTGGCTCAGTTGGTTAGGCGACTGCCTTCGGCTCAGGTCATGATCCTGGAGTCCCGGGATCGAGTCCCGCATCGGGCTCCCTGCTCAGCAGGGGGTCTGCTTCTCCCTCTGACCCTTCCCCTCTCATGCTCTCTGTCTCTCATTCTCTCTCTCGCAAATTAAAAAAAAAAAAAAAAAGCAGAAAGCAACTAGATCTCACTTTACTCAAAGTAAGGAGTGATGGTTGAGAGCTGAAACCCAATAGACAGTTAAGTTTTAAGCACTTCCATGTATACATACACAGTTTTAAAATGATCGTTCATGCATCCTAGAGCACATATACCAAGGCACTCTTTCCCCATACTGTCCAGGTCTTATTTACATTAACAGTTTCTGCTCCAGGCATTCTATTAATTTCTTTCCTTACCTAGAAAGCTAGTGTTATACTCACAATACAACTCATTATAGAGAACACAAGGCCACATCATTCCTTAAACATGATTCTATTGCCTTAATTCTTGTTCTCAATTTTAACAGCCTTTAGCTTTGAAAAATATTTTTCTTGTGAATAATTTGTATCACTTTCCAAAAATTGAGGAGGAGGAAAAAAAGAGTAAGTAGGGGAACCCTCCCCTAGCTGCCTCTACAAACCTACCTATTTCACATAATGATTCAAAGGGGGACCAGAGGAAAGGATTTAAACTAAGGCTCTTTTGGTAACATTCTGATCCTTTGGCAAGCCGATCTGTCTTGCTGTAAAGACAAACAAAGAGATTAGACAAGCTACACAACCCAAAACATTATAAATTTTTCATACAAAAAATCAGGTACTGTTATATATGTATTTACAATACATATATAAGTTCTGAGAGCACTCTTCTTGACAAGTCCCTAAATTACCAATTTCCCCTTCTTACCATTCTCCAATCTCTATTATTTAAGGCAGTTCAAATCAAAAGTCCGGTGAAAGCAAGAACATGAATTGAAGGGAATGTTACCTTAATAAACTATCAACGCCTTCTTGAATATTATAATTGCTTTTAATTTCCTGTCAGATACTAGAATTACTGAAGGAGAGATGGACAATATCCAAATATTTCAGTCTTAATTTTTAATGTAATATCCCAGTGGTAATTTTGAAAGTGACTTAAATGCTTTAAATATAGCATTTTTAAATAATCAGATCTTCTAATGAAGTAGAGGTGGTGGCTTTTTTTTTTTTTTAAGATTTTATATTTAAGTAATCTCTACACCCAACATGGGACTCGAACTCACAACTCTGAAATCAAGAGTTGCATGCTCTACTGACTGAACCAGCCAGGTGCCCCGAAGTGGCAGCTCTTAATGAAAAAAGTTTCCCGAAGAATTGGGGTGAAAAATTATTTAGATGGTACTGGGAAGAAACCAGTTTATCTAAGAACCAGACTTATTATTGGTTGTGTCCTGAACATAGAAGTCTCATGAACTACTGTAGACAAAAGGCCAATAAAGAGATAAAAAAGAGGGGCGCCTGGGTGGCTCAGTCGGTTAAGCATCTGCCTTCGGCTCAGGTCATGATCACGGGGTCCTGGGATTGAGTCCCGCATCAAGCTCCCTGCTCAGCGGGGAGCCTGCTTCTCCCTCTTCCTCTGCCTGCCGCTCCCCCCTGCTTGTGCTCTCTCCCTCTCTTGCTCTCTCTCAACTAAATAAAAATTTTAAAAAATCTTAAAAAAAAAAAAGAGATAAAAAAGATATCCTAACAAGCTATAGCTATAAAACTACAACAGGTATATATCTAGATTACTGGGTACAATTTTGGTCATAAGACAGACACATGATGGCTGAAATGAAAAGCCACTTTTTTGGAGCAGAGTTTTCTCCCACTGGATATTTCACCTTGTAATATTTATGATGAATAAAAGGAACCCATCCTTATTCTTTTAAAGAAGGGGGGGAAACCCTTCTTCGTGGTTAAGGCCTGATTCAGCTGTACCTTCAAGCTTTTAATAATCTTGTTTAAAAATAATTAGTAACACATATATAGTATTTTTGTGATTTTAGCACTTTATTTTGTTTTATTAAACTTTATTTTGAAATAATTTTAGACTCATATACAAGTTACAAAAATAACAGAGTTCCCATGTACCCTACACCCAGCTCCCTCAATGACAACATTTGACGTAACCATAGCACAATTATCAAAACTGGGAAATTGACAATAGCATAAACTAAACCACAGACTTTATTTGGATTTCAGCAGTTCTTACATGCACTCGTTTATGAACAGTTTTATGAAGTTTTATCGCATGTATAGATTTGTGTAACCACCATCACCACAATCAGGATACAGAACTGTTCCAACAGCCCAGAGAAACCACACCTGCCTCTGCACGGCCATACTCTTGCCTCAACTCTACCCTCTGATCTGACTACTGATCTGTTTCTATCATTATAATTCTATCATATCTATGTTTTATGAGAAATTCTGTTGCTCTGCATCCTCACCAGCACTTGGTATTGTCAATTCTTATTTTAGCCATTCTAACCGGTGTGTAGTGGTTTCTAATGGTGTTTTTTATTTGCCTTTCCTTAATAGCTAATGATTTGGCACATCTTTTCATGTGCTTACTTACCATCTGTATATCTTCTTTGGTGAAATGTCCATTCAAATACTTCACCATATTCTAATTAATTTCCTAATTTCTAATTTTCTTATTATTGAGAATTCAAGAAACAAAACTGTTTCTACCAAGTCTTTCCTACTTACCATCTTACCCCTCCTTCTTTTTTTAATTTTATTTTATTATGTTATGTTAATCACCATACATTACATCATTAGTTTTTGACGTAGTGTTCCATGATTCATTGTTTTCATATAACACCCAGTGCTCCATTTAGTATGTGCCCTCTTTAATACCCACCCCCCTCCCCTCTAGAACCCTCAGTTTGTTTCTCAGAGTCCATAGTTTCTCATGGTTCGTCTCCCCCTCCCATTTCCCCCCCTTCATTTTTTCCTTCCTGCTATCTTCCTCTTTTTTTTTCCTTTTTTAACATAAAATGTATTATTTGTTTCAGATTACCCCTCCTTCTTAACCAGGTAGAACTAATTATTTCCTCCTTCAGACAAAATACTGCTCAAATTTTATCACAGCATTTTTATTGTGATGATAAAAACTTACAAACTTCTGAGTTTGAGGGCAGGGACTGTGAGTTATTTATCACATTCCCAGCGTTAAGTACTGTGTCTAGCTAGCCATAAATGGAGGATAGATCTCAAAATTTCTTGAATAAATGACAAGAATAATCATAGTTGCATGAACTAAAATTCATTACTCCAAGTCCTTTTACTAAGATAAATAAAGATATTGATATTATATCTTTACTTACTCCTGTTCTCTAAAGAGTGGTGTCATCTGAAAATGAGCCCCAAAATTCAGCCAAATAATTTATTCTGTTCAAAAAGATATTTTCAAGGTTTTTAAAAAACTACTATTCATTCTAGCCTCAATTTATCTTAAAATAGATGCTTTCCTAACTCTTTAGAAAAGCAATCCTCAACCATTTCTCCTACAGTATGTAACAGGTTACATTTATACATGCGATGCACTCCCATGGGCAGCTGGAACAATTCCATTACCTACTTATATCTCCACCCTCTAGTCCCCAACTCACAATATTTCAGAATAAAAATCAGTGCGAATATTATTATAGTGATGACTTTGAATTCATTCTCACTTGCTTTCAAAAGACTAAATTTAAATAAATGTAAAGAAATTTTAAATACATTTAAAATTCTTTCCAAATCACTATTATTTCAACTACCATTGTAGGAAGTTTCTTATGACATGCCTCAAAATTAGTGTGGTAAATCAGATGGGAATTACTATTCTTTATTACTGAAACTTGCCTTCAAGCCTTGTTCTAAGGAGCAAAGGTGATATTTAATATTAGAGAAAAAACTTCACTCATTTCTTTTTCCTCAGTGGATCACATGAAGATATTCTCCTCACCCAAGGTAAAAAAAAAAACAAACAAACCATATGTGCACTCAATTATTTATTAGGTAGTGTTGCTGTAGCTACTATCATTAAGGCAAAGTGGATAGTCAAAAATGGGATCAACATGTCTACTACTTTATAGGTTTAACAAGGTCATAGAACTAGAAGACTGTGTGTACTCTTCAGCCAAGCGCTATTTGATAAACACAGATAATGTAAGTTTTTTTTAATTGCAAAGACTTCTAGCACTGGAAACAATCTTCTGGTAACTTGAATCATTCTTACTTACCAATATACATGTCCCAACAATGAAAGAGTAAAGCAAGCTGAATCACCAAACTCAGTTACAATATCATCATGGCTTTTCTGCTTATTAAACACTCCACCAGATAAGATCTGTTCCCCTTCTGCAAGCCTTTAAAACACAAATTTACAGATTAACAAAAGTCAGTATAAAAAGTACTGTGTGTAAAGACGTTCTTCATTACCAATGTACTTCCTTATATGGAGATAGATAAAGTAAGAAGTCCATAGCACCTTTAGAACAGTAATAACCATGTATTTAGAATCACTTGGAAAACTGGGAATTTATGATCTTAAAATTCCAGTCTTGTCTTTAAAAACAGAACCAGTTAAATTTAGTCTCTGTATGTACAAATGTAGTCTGAGCAACATACACATTACTCATGTCAAAAGAAATGGAAGGCCATTATACTGGGGGAAAATGTGAATGTTTCTTCATTAACAGATGTAGTGGTCCTTTTTAGTTCTATAATTCCTTGAAATAGGAATCAGCAAGCAAATTAAACAAGTCTAGCAGATTTTAACTAAAAACTGCATACTTAATGGTCTCAGTCATTTTTAGGTTTACAAATGAAACCTGAATAGCACTTCATCTCTTTTTATTTGTCAATTAATGTTTTCTTGATATAGAAAATCATAAGTGTTCCCCAAAGGAAAAAAAAATGACCTGACTTCGCTATATATTTTTAGCACATCAGAGTTTGTAATGGTTTCTGTTTTAAAGTTTTTTCCAAACATCATGTGGGAAACTCTCAAGTAAGTTTACACAGCATATCCTAAACATAAAAGGTGATATCCATAGCTCTTTTACTGTCAGAGAGACTTTTAAAAAACCATGAATACTTATAAATGGGATAAGAATGTCTAAGGTTAAGAATTGGCTTAAGAAATTAGCAAGTTAAATAAATTTTTAAGAATTTAACATTAGAATCTTTGAAATAAAAATAATTTAATAACAAATGTTTCAGAAATTTTATAGATATTTTAGTTAGCTTTAATTTAAAAGTCATCAGTTAGACAGTGGACAAATACAATATTATTAGTCTGTGGAGACTTCATGAGGCTTATTTGTGTCCTCTCACTATAAACCTACAAACTAAATTCACATATAGGCTTTCACAATTACCTATTTAGTCACTTTTAGCATTATTGCATCTCTTTCAGCACAGAAAAGAGTTTAACAGAAGATAACTACCTATATCTATAGCTGCCTCCAGATTCAGAATAGGGACAGCTGACTTGATTTAATTGTAATGTTCAAAAGAAGTGTTCTCCTGAATCTGCCCCCTTGCTTCAAAGGGGTAGGAGCAGTGGTTCCCAAATAGAATGATCTTGAAAGGCAAATAATTACGCAACTACCTAGACACAATGAAGCGTTAATCTCAGGTGAACAGGTAAGGAGGTTTTACACTTCAGATAATTTTGGAAAATGACAGGAATTAGTTATAACTTAAGTTTCTCCAGAGTTAAATTCTATTATTTATTATCATAACAATGAAATCTCTCCATAACAAAAATGGTAATGCCACAGGCAACAGTATAAACATTTTAAGTTACTGAAATAGACAAATCTCTACTATCAAAAAAGAGGAGAAAGGGAGTCAGAGTTTAATCTATCAAAAGGATTTTATCCAAAATTTTACAGTGTAAGTAAACAAAATTAGATAGAAAAGATTTAAAAACTTACTTGCTGAGATCAACACAACATTTTGCAAGCAGGTATTTACACTGCGGTGTAGTACAACTGTGTCCTTTCAAGAGTCTATATGCTTTATATGCCTTTCCTGAGCGGTAATAACAGGTTGCCAATAAAAACAAGGCTTCCTCTGAGTGTACTAAGAGCACATATGAAAAAGAATGGCTATTATTCAGTATGTTGAATGGTAATCACTGTTTATCTGGCAATAAACAAGTTTAGCAACAAAATATTAGTCATGTTATTTAATATAAAACAATCATTTATTAATCCAAATCTGAATGAGAAATACTTTACTGATAGAAATCTTAGTTCCCCAAGTCCTGATTACCTTCTTACAAAGAACCAAGGAAATAATACAGTGAAGACAGTCATGGTATTTTCTATAAATCCTTAAGAAAAGTGTGCGCTTGTGCACACACCCACACACCCGCGCCTACCTTTAAAACAGACTACCAGTAAACTGTCTTGTTTTTTTGTAATATTTTTCTAATAGACTCTTTGAGAGAATAGAAGTTAAATTTCATGAGAGGGAAACTCAGGGTTATAAAGCTAATTATCAATCTATTATTTTCTACATTAAAAAAGGACCAGATTTAAAAAAAAAAAACAAACACCCTTATTTCTAACATCAAATATACACTAAATTATATCCAAGATAATTTAAGACAAAAGAATATTCTAAATTGTGAATACCCACAATGTTTAAACATTCAATTGACAAACTTAACACTTCTATAGCAATAATAATTATACTGCCCTGCAATGGCAAGAGTGGAATTATTCAAACTGTCCTCTAGTCTTAATATTAGGAAATATCCCTTTTTACTTAATGAAATATGGCATTTTTTCCCTTATTTACTGTCTTCCAAACTGACCATCACCTCACTTCTATCCTTGCAAGTTCCCAACCAATCCAGGTGAAAGGCTGTAGATGAAACAACAAAAGAGATAGAAAGAGGGAAAATCACAAATCTGTGCTTCTAAAAATGGGTTATATAATAATCTCAGTGGGCTGAAGGATATTCTAAACCAGTGGTTCTAAAATGTGTCCCTCTGCCAGCATCAGCATGACTTGGGATCTTGTTAGAAACAGAAATCCTTAGATGCATCTCAGACACATTAAGTCAGTAATTCTGGGAGTGGGGACCAGCAACCTGTGTTGTAACAAACCGTTCAGGTGATTCTGATGCATGCTGAAGTTTGAGGATCATTGTTCTAAAGTACAAGATAAATTTGCCACATCCTCTTAAAAAGTGAACTTCACTCAAAGTTTGGGATAAAAAAGTAGGTAATTTGAAAGTTTACTCTTACAAAGGTTTTTTTGGGGTCATATACAGATGCAAGCAAAAACTAACAGAACCCTTCCTCTCTAGTCCATCTTATGATTTTTCATGAAACCCTAGTAGAAAAAAAATATGCAATGAAGGATATGCAGTAAATGATAAGAAATTCTGGCAACATGTTAATGGGATGTACCTAGTATTAGTGCATCAGAAGCAAAAAAAATGAATAGGGAACTCTACTGCAGTGAGAACAAATTGTTAATTTCACTGAACTGTAAGTGCTAATTCACATAAATTAGAAAGTGTGATTTCTTCCTGATTTTGCAAAGGCCTAGTTTTGCCTTATAAGTTTTTAAAAACTATTGATTACACCAATAAACAATGGCTCCCCAAAACTAGTTTAACTTTTAGCCATAACAATCCTTCATCAAATGTTTTGTTTACAAATACCTGATTATGCTTAGGTCCATTTTCACTGCAGTAAAATTCCCTAATAACATAAAGATACCAAATATTCTGTGTGTGTGTGTGTGATTTTAGTGTCACACTGCAGTTACCTTTTTGAAGTGTAATAACTTAAAATCTACCAGTTCAGATGGGAATATGGATTGGAAGTTTAAGCACACCTTAAGGTTAATGAAAGGATAAGATACTGAAGTAAATCCAGAACTTGAAGGGTTGTGAAAGACATGGAGAGACCTGGGTGGTTTTCGAGGCTCCCCAGAAATAACTGGACAGTCCTAAACACTGAATCAGTAGTAAGGAGTTATATAAAGCTAAAAAGCATAGACTATTAACAAATGGATTTCATCTGGAACAGTAACTCCAACTGATTGACAGTGGCTGCCTCAAGTACTGAATTCAGAAAAATTCTAAGGCTGACCATGGCTAACTAGTAAATGTGCAGATATCAAAGTAACAGGACCTAGAAATGGTTATAGATGTCTGCATGACATTTATTTACCATCCTTAGAGCCTTAATTAAAATATGCGATTGGGAATTATAAGGTCCATAATATACTTTATAATCAGAAATAAAGTGAACATTGACTCCACACAGTCACTCTTAATGTAATATTGAGAAATCAATCATGTACTAGTTAAATTATGGTATATCCATATGATGGAACACTCTAGAAGTGTCAAAGAAAAAGAAAGACATAGAAAGATTTCTAGAATGCATTGTTAAGCGAAAAAAGCAAAAACAAAAAAGAAGTTGTGGAACAATACTGAAACTCCTCTTCTCACAAACAGATCAGGCTTCAAAAACTGAAAGGTCATTTCATGTAAGTCCAAAATAATTAAGAGGGGTTTAGGCTTGCATCCTCCAGATACATTTCCATCAAATTGGAAGGTGAGTTAGTCCCTCAAAGATTTCAAATCAGATAAGACACCTCTTCTTGATGTTGACTTACAATGTAAATGAGCAGCCTTTTTCCAAAGTGGACCAGTTTTGGCAAGACTTAGAAGTCTGAGGAGATGAAGGTTCTCTAGCCTTGATAAAGTCTACAGTTATCATAGAGAACTGCTTAGAGGTTAGAGTACTCTGTTTGCGGCCTTATCATGAACTCAACATTGTGAGTATTCAAAGGGCATAGAACCTATGAAATCATCTATGATTTGTGACACACTTTTCATCTTGATTATCTTTTAAGTCCTTAAATCAAGGATGGGCAGTACAGCACATGCATTAGAACTATGGACTCTAGAGCCAAACTGCTTGCGGTCAGATTCCAGCACCACCACTTACTAGCTTCATGACTTATGGCAGGTTAACTTCTCTGTCCCTCAATTTTTTTATCTGTAAAATAAGGATATTGATAGAGATAATGAATAGAGATATTGATCTCTAAGGGTTGCTACCAGGATTAAATGAGTTAATAATAAGAGAGTACTGAGGATAGTTCCTGACACATAATAAGAGCTATATGTGCTATTATTAAATTATCATTGGCTTTCTCCTAAATTTATAATATCTGAATAGTCATTTGATAGTAATATGGGTTATACATATATGACTCTGAGCCACAAGCTCAAATAATTCCATTTCATTACTAACTTTTCTTTTACTGAAGGATTTCAATTGCCTGGGTGCTTTGCTTTTCAGATGCTGCATGATTCATTCCATCCTTTAGAGTCATTTCTTTTGTTGAATACCTCATTTACATATACAACTTCAGTATTTTAATATTATTCCCACTTTTTATTTTCTCTAGTTGTTTACATCCTAAATTTCAATACTAACTGGTTTTATATTTGTTGTATATGATAGGGTTAATGGTTTAAGATACTTTGAAATCATGCTTAGAGTAAATATACCACAGGTAAGAGGGTGGAGGAAGTTTCAGAAAGGCTCTTTAGTGTTGGTGGGGAGGGGGGAGGGGCAGTGGCCATACATAAGGAGAAAGCAGATGGCCAGATTGTGCAGGGCTTTGCAAGCTGTCTAATGATTTAGGGATAAATCCTCTGAAGCATTTTAAGAAAAGTAAAGAGAATGGGTTGATTTAGGAAGTGGAAAGAGAAGAGGCAGGGAAGGGTAGATATGGGAAAACCAGTTAGGAAACTTTTTTAGTAAGAGATGTCTTAGATTAGTGTGCTAACATAAATCCAGCTTTGCATGCATTGAGTTTGGTGTGTGTGATGTTTGTGTGAAACAGCTAAGTTAATGCAATGAAACAGTTGAGTCTCGAATAAAAAAAAGGTTGTTGGGAAGAGTTAAGTCTTAATCACTAACACATTATAAAAATGAAAACTATGACAATTAAATAGCATCATCTTTTTCACTGGCAAACATTTAACTATGATAGTAAAACATTAGGCCAATGGGCCAGACATCCTTTTGGAGGCCCCCCTCCCCAAATGTAACAAACTGACTGAATTTTTAGACTAGATATATGTATTAAATTTTCCAATAATGACCTAAAAATGAAACATTATGCCACATCATTAGTAGCATTCTGGACATTTCCCCTCAATGATGACCTTAACATAAATTGGTAAATAAGTTTTTTAAAAAATGTTGCCATTTGTAGTCACGTATTTCTGTGAGTTTGGGCTCTCAATATCATAGCTTAGAGAAGAGCAACAGATGCTGAACCTTTTACTCTGGTTCACTTCTCTTCAACTGAACCCAATTTACTGAAATCAATACACCCAGTGCAATTTCTACATCCGGGCCATTAATCATTAAGACAGGTAGAAACCGGTGAACAATTTTATGGTAAACACATAAAATGTATTCATACTTAAAAATAAACATTTTGTAGTGTAGGATGCAAAATCTACATCAAGATAGAACACTAGATTTCAAGCAACTGTGAGCTTTTCATGAGGACCCTCAAAATAACTTAGGGAATACATGTTGACACAATGTCTTCAGCTACTTCTTTTTCCTTGCTTTTCACCAGGTACAATCACCAGTCCCATATGGTCTCATAGATAGCAAATTTTCATCTTTCCCCAGAGGCCCTGGGCATTTCCTTATAAAATAAAATGCACACAAAACTTACAACTGGTTAGTTTTCTAAACACAAATAACTCCTCTCTCTCCAAGGACCTACCCTATCAATTGTATTAATGTATTCTTTGCCCATATAGTCTATGACTGTTTCTATTTGTTCCTAACCACCCATTTCTATTCATTCCCAACAGCTAAATATATATAATTACAATTAAAAATCTTAGAAAATTTTAGAGGTACTACATGTTATCTGTTAGGACAAGGGGAAAAGCTGAATCTATATTCTGTCCAACAGTTAATCAATTAGCAATGGAGAAAAACCTTGGTCAAGGATATCAGGTATTGGCAGTGGGAAGGAAAAATAGGTGCTTACAATGGCAAAAGGGGATATGGAGGGAGATGATAAGATTAGGACAGTTTTTCCAAACAGCAAGTCTCAATTCACTGTGGATTGTGAAATCAATTTAGTGGATATCAACCTGCATTAAAACAATAACAACACTCAAACAGAAAAATATCAGAGTGCATCATATATAAGACGAGTAAAAAAAAAAATCTGAAAAGCCACTGTATTAGACTATGCTAGGGGAGAGGAACTTGTAAAGGACTTCCTACGTGCCAGAAACCACAGTAGATTATTATAGTTAGTGCTGAAAATGATCGTGTTATACAGATACTTCTTTTCCTAATTTAAAGATGAGGAAAATTAGGCTCGGAATAACTTCTTTTTTTTTTTTTTTTTAAAGATTTTATTTATTTATTTGAGAGAGAGAATGAGAGAGAGCACATGAGAGGGGGGAGGGTCAGAGGGAGAAGCAGACTCCCTGCTCAGCAGGGAGCCTGATGTGGGACTCGATCCCGGGACTCCAGGATCATGACCTGAGCCGAAGGCAGTCGCTTAACCAACTGAGCCACCCAGGCGCCCCCGGCTCGGAATAACTTCTTACCTAAGATCAAATGGCTAATGAACATGTGAGCCGACATTCTCTCTTACACCACTTTGCTTATACCACTGTCTTAGGTGGGCTAACTATACAACTCTTAGGAGAAAGACAAATGGATGACAAGGAACTAGTGAAATTCAAGAATTTGGCTTTCAGAGGGTCCTATCCATCTACTTCTTTAGCCCTATGGGGTGTCTTTCCCTAAAACATAGCAGCTACCACTAGCGGCGTGGGAGGCCACGGAGCAAAAGGAAAACAGGTTACGTCTAGTATACCGACTCTGATCAACTAGTACTGTCAGCCAGCAACACCGTGTCCACAAGAATTCCAAGGCTGGTTCCACGGGAGTAAGTAGTATGACAGATTAGTGATGTCTATCATAAATCAGAGTGGCATGTATTTGCTACCCTTCGTAAAATGGAATCAGAAAGATTTGCCCCTTACTGCCTGTGAACATTGGTCTCAGTTTCTTCCTTTCTAAAATGGCAATAGCAATGTCCACTTTATAGCATTATTAAAGATTAAATAAGGAATTAATATTAAGTATGTAAAGAGCCTAGTACATAGTAAGAAATCAATAAATGGTAGAAGTTATGCTTGTCATTATTATTGAATTAGGATAGTATCTGCTCCTGTTGCACTTAAATTCTAAAATCTTCCCTCATAGAAATGAGTCAAACAGAGTGATTAGGTTCTACAGTTAACCCCTGAACAATGAGGGGGTTAGGGGCACCTATCCTGCAGAGTCAAAAATCCGCAAGTAATTTTTGACTCCCCCAAAACTTAACTACTAAAAGCCTACTGTTGACCAGAAGCCTTACCGATAACAGTCAATTAACACATACTCTGTATGTTATATGTGTTATATGCTGTATTCCTACAATGAAGTTAAGAGATAAGAAAATCCTATTAAGAAAATCATAAGGGTGGGGGCGCCTGGGTGACTCAGTTGGTTAAGTGTCTGACTTTTGATTTAGGCTCAGGTCATGATCTCAGGGTTGTGGGATCAACTCCCACGTCGGGGTCCACAATGGGTTTGGAGCCTGCTTGAGATTCTCTCTCTCTCCCTCTTCCTCCCTGCCCCCCTGCCCTCTCTCTTTAAAAAGGAAAAACAAAAACCATAAGGGAAACACATTTACAGTACCGTATTGAAAAAAAATTTGCATACAAGTAGACCTACACAGTTCAAATCTGTGTTGTTCAAGGGTCAACTGTATACTGAGAGAAACTAACACTTACTGAGCAACTTTCCAAGTGTCAAGTGCTGTATCAAACACAGACAGAAAGTGGACTGAACAGCTTTATGCAGATTCATCTGGAATCCTGCCCCAATTCTATGGGAAAACCTAATCGTCTTAATTGGAAACCACTAATTCACAATCTTCTGGAGCCTAACTATAATAAACTAGAAACTGCCAATCCTTTAATAAACAAATTCAAAAAAGAAAGTATAAGACAGCAAAACATGAGGGTTGTGTAGGTATCAATGAAAATATATGTAAGTAGATTATGCAAGATAAACCTTGCTTTTATATAATTGAGCAGAGTAGGGTAATCTATTGCATTATCTTCTAAGCCTCTTCTCACGCTTCCATATCTTTTCATTGGGATCTCAGACTCCTGTTGCACAGATCTTCCCCACTCTCCTCTCTGAACTCTGAACTCCTGTTCTCCCTTGAAGGACCTGACAGCACTCTCAAAGGGATGCTATTTCCCTCATATCCCACTTATATCAGAGTCAAGGTAAGGTTTCCTATTTGCTTTTTTTTTTTTTTTTAAGATTTTATTTATTTGTTTGAGAGATAGAGCAAGCATGAGCAGGTGGGAGGGGCAGAGGGAGAAGCAGATTCCCTGCTGAGCAGGGAGGCCTATGCAGGTTTGATCCCAGGACCCTAGGATCACGACCCAAGCTGAAGGCAGATGCTTAACCAACTGAGCCACCCAAGCGCCCCTCCTCTTTGCTCTTTGCTTCTTAAAACTATTTCCAAGCATTACTCTTTGCCTGTTTGTGAAATTCCCTGCTCCTGAGTACATACCTTCTTATAACTCTCAGCTACTAAATTCAGGACATTCTGCTTCATTAATAGAAGAATTTTACAACTGGTTGGCTCATGGTCTTCCACTCCCAAGTTATTCCCATACATCTCCCAATTCAACTTCATCTGGACTTCTGGCACTTCTCTGTATCTTATTTACCAATCCCCTTCTGTGTTAACTTTCCTATATAGTTTCTATTTCCTGGTTCCAGATCTTGTCTATATTCATAATGTTCTTATCTCTTATCCTTTCTTGTGACACATGCCTGGCAAACCCCTAATATCTACCTTCTTATGCTTGCAGTTAGGTTACTAAGCACTTGCTACTAGTGTAAAATCATACCACTGAGCAGAAAGATTCCACTAGCAATTCATATAAGAACACACAAAACACACAAAAATAAAGCTCATATGTAACCATAAAAAAAATTAAACTTCTTGGCAAGTAATCCAATGGGAATGTCACAAAAAGTAGAAAAATTGAGTTAAGCAAACACACACCTGAGTAAAAAGAAGGCAGCACCATTTCTGGTTGGGAAGGCTATCTATAGTAAGATGTCAATACTTCTAAATTAATTTAGAGAATTATATGGTTACAGGTCAGCACTGATCAAAATCTTTGTGAAATTTCAAAGCAATAATAAAATACACATAGAAAAATGAAAGGTAAAAAAGGGTAAAGACTTCTTATCAAAGAATGAATTGGAAAGAAAAAAATGATGGGAGACACGCCTTATGAAATATTAAAATACAATATAGTGTTAACTAAAAATGGTATGATATTGGATTAAAAACATAATTAATGGAAGAGAGGGGAAATTCTGGAATCAGAACAAAATATTTTTTTAAAATTTAACATAAAACCAAGTAAAATACCACGTGGGAGGGAAAAAAAGCATTGTTTATAATATATAATATTGAATAAATTGATAATATCATGATAAATTCTTTAAATTTTTTTAAACCACCAACAACCACATATTCACTGTAGTGGTAGAAAGATGGTAATTTTCCAGCTACTGAAGCAATAGGAGAAAGTATAAATGACAAAGCTGATGAGTTAAACTACAAAAAAAATTTTAAATATTGAAATAATAAAAACCAAGAGAATTAACATTAAAAAGCAACAATCTGGGGCAGATATATAATAAAGATATAGCTCACAGAAATAGGAATAAATTTAAAACAAACACTTGAGAAAATACCCAGGGTCCCTTATAGTAATAAAAATGCAAAACAAAATACCTCACAATTCTCAAGTAAGCAAAAATACATTAAATTGATCAAATCTGATATGTATAGGATTATGAAGGAAGTCTTATGCTGTTAACACCCCAAATTATTATGCCTCTCTCTGATGGGTTACCAACTGGGGAAAAAGTAATTTGTTGTAGAACTGATCACACTGTTTGAGTTGTAAATTTCATTCTAGAATTTATAACCCAAGAAAATGACTTAAAAGAACAAAAAGCTGTACCTAATTATCTATATTACCATCTTAGAAAGAAAATTACAATAATTAATGACAGAAACAAAACATAGATTACCAGCAGATGTTTACTGAACATTTATTACCATGCCAGAAGGCTGTGCCAAGTGCTTTAAATACATTATCTCATTTCATTCTTCAATGTTATGAAGCAATTATTACTATCTTTATATGATAGATGAGAAATCTGAAATACTCAGACACTGAGCAACTTGCCCAAGGTATACAACTGCATATTTAAGTGACAGGGTTAAGGGTTTGTACCAAGGCTATAGACTAAATTCTTGCCCTTAGCCACAGAATATAGACTTTTCTAACAAAAAAGTTGGAAAATGATTAAGTAAATCATAGTGTAAAACCTGGAACAACTCTACAGTTATTAAAAGTAGCATATAAGATACAGGAAAAAGGTTTTAAGAATTAGTGCCAATCATAAAGAAAAAACAAAAGTGATCCCCAGAATCTTGTTATATATGTCATAAGAAATGACAGAATTCCATATATTTTATTCACTTATGGTTCTATAGAAATGAAGAGATTACAAACCTTCAGCATACAGTCGTTCTGCAAGGAAAACTGCATCTCGGTAAGCATAGTGGTTTAGTGCTTGCCATATAGCAGCCTGAAAGTAGAGGAAAAAGAACATAAATATACCAACATAGGGAGTTTCAAAGTAACTCCTAGCAGAGCCTTGCATATAGTAAACAAATCAACAACCCTAGCTTAAGTAATAAAATGTCAATGCCCATCATGCAAACTCCATAGTTTGCTAGAGAAGGCTCTTCACAGTACGGCTCCTAACATATCTGAATTTACTCACTCAACTCTCCATGGACATTTAGGCCTCTGTGCCTTTGTACTTCCTTTTCCCCCACAGAGGAATGTGGGCTCCCTCACCTACCTCCTTTTACAAACTGCTCATCCCTAAAGATCCAGCTTAATTAACATCTACTTCATGAAGGTTTCCTAGCTGATTCCTAGCCATTTTTTTGATAAACACATGTCTTCTAGTGAAGCACTCACATTTTATTATAATTACTTGTTTACAGGTCTGCCCAAACCACTAAACTATACTGCTCTAAACTTACAACAGTGGTTTAAACAATTTTTCATGATATACATGAAATGTATGTCATCCTCCCCAAAAACTTCCCCACCTATTACCTTTAATGCTACCCTGTTCTCACCCACTCAAGAAAGCATATTAGGATACAGATAAGTAGAGCTACTATAGGAATAACCTTTAATCTATTTGAATATATTTTTCTATTATTTTATTTTATTTTAAAAAAGATTTTATTTATTTATTTTGAGAGAGAGAGAGAATCTCAAGCAGACTCCAAGCTGAGCATGGAGCCTGACACGGGGCTTTATCTCACGACCCTGAGATCATGACCTGAGTCGAAATCAAGAGTCAGACTGCTTAACCGACTGAGCCATCCAGGCACCCCATATTTTTCTTCTTTAGAGTTAGAAAACATATCTATAAAGTATATATCAAAAGAATATTTTAAGTAATAACAAATGAAAACATTTAGACCCATGTGCTTCCTGTCTAGCTTAAGAAATAAAATATTACCAATATACTTGAAGCCCCCTCCCTATGTGCTCATCAGTTATATAACCTCTTTCTGAAACTACCACCCTGAATTTTGTTAATCTTTAGGTTGTCTTTACAATTTGTATACATATGTATGTATCATCTTTAAGCAATGCAACATTTAGTTTTCCCTGTTTTTGAATTTTAAATAAATACAAAATAAATATAATCATATTGCATATATTCTGCTATGATTTGCTTTTGTAATCCAATATTATATTTTAAAAATTCATTCTCAATCTATGCAGTTGGAGTTCATTCATTTTGATTGCTGAATAAATAATATTTCCATTGTATAAATATACCAAAATGTATTTTATCTATTTACGGCATATGAACATATGGGTTATTTCTAGTTGTTTTTTTCCCCCCAGTTATAATAGTGCTGCAAAGAACATTCTCGTATTTGTCTCCTGGGGTATCTGTTTAAGAATCTTTCCAAATTAGGATATATATTTAAGAATGAAATTATGGGGCTGCTGAGTTCATGTTCATATACATGTTCATCTTTACTAGGTTATGCAAATTATTCCCAAATTGTTGGTTTAATTTACACTCCTACCAAAAATGCATGATTTCCCATTATTCCACATCCTTGTCTACACTACATACTGTCAAAAACATTTTTAAGTGTGTTTATTTATTTATAGTAATCTCTACACCCAATGTGGGGCTCAAACTCATGACCCTGGGATCAAGAGTTGCATGCTCTACTGACTGAGCCAACCAGGTGCCCCTAAATTTTTTCATTTTTACTAGTCTGATAGATATAAAATGCTTATCTCGTGTCTTTAACTAGCATTTCTCTGAATATTAAAATGAGGCTGTGTTCATTGGTAATTTATTTCATGTTTATTGGTCTTCTGGCAAACACATGGTTATGTGTCATACATTTTTCTGTCAGGTGATTTACCTTTTCTTACTATTTTACCCAGCATTTTTAGAAGCACTAAACCAGAGAGGTTTCTTTTAAGTTCCAGTGTGTCATATAACACTAAGTTTTAGTCTATCATATAAATTATGTATATATAAATTATGTGTTCATATATATTTATGTTTTGCCTAGCATTTTTAGGAGCACTAAACCACAGGAGTTTCTTTTAACCTCTCTCGGTTTCTTTTAACTTTTAGACTATCACAAGATATAAAAGTCATCAATTAATTTTTTAAAAATTCATAAACTTATAAATTGAGATATCTTATAACTGATCATGATACAACAGCATTTTTTTTATTTCTAGCATGTATACCAGCTCATAATTTATTGAATAATTTACTAGAGTTACAATAAAACCAGCAAGATGGGATTACCTAATGAAGACCACTAGCTAACATTGTTAACAGTAAAGCTAGATTACATTATAACAAGTAATTAATATGCCTCGGATATAGTAAAAGCTCAAACATTTGAATGAATAAGCAAATGTTTAATAACATTTCTATGGGCATTATTATTATTTTAAAAGATTTTATTTATTTATTTGACAGAGAGAGACACAGCTAGAGAGGGAACACAAGCAGAGGGAGTGGGAGAGGAAGAAGCAGGCTTCCCGCTGAGCAGGGAGCCCAGTGCGGGGCTCGATCCCAGGACCCTGGGATCATGACCTGAGCCGAAGGCAGACGCTTAACGACTGAGCCACCGAGGCACCCCTCTATGGGTATTATTAATTATAATTTTTTATATTAAAATCCTAGTAGTAGTTGATGACTTACTTAGCCCAAGGGTGTATTTTTCTATTTCCTCAAGAAAAAAATGGTAAATGAATTTCATTTGGGGTCTCTAGATCCTCTTGTTTAAGCTTACTGTCTATACAGTCTAAATTTTTTAAAGTCTCAGAGATGTTAATTTGGCCATTTCCATCCAGACACAAGGGAAAGGAATGAGGGAATTTAAATTTAATTTTAAATAAACTATACTAACCCAGGCAGCATTTTTCCCCCTAATGTTAGTGTTCTTAATCCAGTCATTTCCTACTACTTCAAGAACTATCTAAAACTGCTATTCAAAGTGTGGTCCTTGGAGCAGCAACACTAGGTATCTTCTGGGAGTTTTCTGGGAGTGTGGAATCTCAGACCCCATCCCAGACCTACTAAATCAGAACCAGCATTTTAACAAGATCCCCAGGTGATTTATATGCATATTAAAGTTGGAAAAGGACTGATCTAAAAAAGACTTAGTCTAATTAAAAACATTCCTGCTCAAACAATGAATCATGGAACACTACATCTAAAACTAATGATGTAATGTATGGGGATTAACATAAGAATAAAAATAAATAAATAAATAAATAAAATAAAAACATCCCTGCTCAACAGACTTCCCAAAGCCAAAGAGGTTGTCTCATCTAATATTAATTCAAGATGTTATGAATAAAATAATTTCTAATCCTTCAGGCCATATCCCTTAGCTTTAAAAGAAAGGCCTGAATTATTCATATTCCAAAGCCTCTTGTTTGTAGGTCTTCATGTTCCTTCTTGGCCCCAACCCATTTCTTATACCTAATAAAATATCCTACATACTAATATAAATGAATCACAATACCATCTCCTTTCATAATCCCCCAAATTAGTTGGGCTACAAAGAAATCTCCCTTTGGTCTAAAATGTACCATTTCACTCTCCCCCAATATTTTCAGAAGTAGTTGGCATAACCTATAGGATGATTCCAACAGTATACACAAAAATACGACTTATCTGCTTTAAATAAGAGAAATCCTAGAATTTTCAGATACTTATAAACTCCATACTAAAGATAATTTGCTGTCCCAAAAAGCCTGATTGATCCCAACACCCCTTCTCATAATTTCCAGAAGACAAAGGGGTTCATACAATTGTAATTTTGCCATACTTCAGTTCTCTGCCAGCTGCCATATATGCTTATTTCTGGAATACTTCCATATGATTTAATCCCACAATGTCCCTCAATCTCATAGAAAGGAATACTTAAAATACTGAAATATCATACTACACTAAAAAACACTCATTCATAATTGGAAGGTCCTCTATTACTTGGGAAGTAAAATAGATGGAAGAGAAAAAAGAGAAGACCATAAATACCAACAGGACCTTAAGAAGGACTGTTAGATCACTATATGATTCTTCCCCAATTAGAGCCACCTAAGTAAGAAAGATACCAAAGACAAGCTGTGCTGAAACAGCCAGAACCCCCAATAAAATGTTCCATATTGCTGCTAATAATTCTTCCACATACCATTAACCAAGGATCTGAGGTTCCTACTCCTTATAACTCCTTGACTTTCTTTTTTTTTTTTTTAAAGATTTATTTATTTATTTGAGAGAGAAAAAGCACGAGTGGAAGGGATAGAGGGAGAGGGAGAGAGAATCTCAAGCAGACTCTGTGCTGAGTGCAGAGCCTGACATGGGGCTGGATCTCACGACCCAAGATCATGACCTAGGCCAAAACCAAGAGTCAGACACTTAACCAACTGAGCCACCCAGGCACCCCTCCTTGACTTTATTTCTGATAACATTTGCCTGTGGTGGATTTCAACAATATCCTCAGCTATTTAGAGTACAAAGGTATACTATTACTGCCTGAATACATTTTTTTACTAACTCCAGCATGATTGACCATGAATGAAAACCAATGGGCAGGGGATAGTGGTATCTTTTCTTTAAATTTTCTGAACTGGAGAGTTCTCGTACTCATTCATTCAATAAATATTTACTGAGTCCCCACTATGTGCCAGGCACTTTTTAGACTCTAGAGTAATTAACAAATAGTTTCTGTTCTCATGGAGTACCTTTCAGTGTTGTTCCTGTCTAGATCAGTGGCTATCAATTCTTGCTTGACAATGCTCTACCTCAAATCCACTGCATCACAATCCCTGGAAGCTGGGATTGAGCTTAGATGTCTTTATTTTTAAACCTTTTCACTGGTAAGCATTCAGTGCTCAGAATCATTTTGTTTTTAAAAGATTTTATTTATTTATTTGAGAGAGAGAGAGAGCAAGAGAGAGGACAAGCAGGGGTAGGGGGAGAGGGAGAAGCAGGCTCCCCAC